GGTTAGAACAACCAAATACAATTATTGAATTAAGGTCGGCCCTGCAGCTAATCTACCCAATAGAATATGAAATTGGAAATCAGGAATGGAAAGCAATGCTAAAAAATGTTGGTTGTTTTGATATTACCCCATATAAAAAAGATCAGTCAAAAGTAAGTAGCTGTTTTAATAAATTTTACAATTTATATGTATACTTAATTGATGTGAATCAATTTCTATAGTTCGAGTTTTGGTCTCGGTCTATTACTCTGGATAGTAATAGAAGTTCTTTGTCTATATTATACAATCTTGGATTTGTTATATCAGTTCCCTTATACTTCTCTATGAATGCTTTTTGGAATTCTTTTCACAATTCTTTGGAAATTAATAAATGCGGCATAAATGGGCGTCGACAGGTATTATCTATAATTGCTAATGATTTCAACTATAAAGTTATTAAAAAAAACTTAGGCGTAAGTAGCCTGTTTGAACTTATTACTACCATACCAATTTCTACTTCCCCTTTTAAGCTTACTATTTTTTTTAGGTTTCGAATGATTTAATTCGTGCTGCACGAAAGCATGTACGCATTTATGGGCCTGGAGGATTAGTTACTAACAAACCTGAATTAGACATGGAAAAATGTTGTCAGAAAAAAATGCACAATTACAATCTTTTTTAATGGACAAAGCTAATGTCGTAATGAGCTCATATAAAACTGACCCTATTACAAATGAACCAGTATATTACCTGAAAAATTCAAAAGATGTACTGTAGAACAAATTTCATAAAGAATACCCGAATAGAATGCGCCGTACTAGTTTTTACACTAGGTTGAAGGGAAATAGATACATATATCGAGAAGATTTGGGTGGATTATGCCATATGTGTTCACAATATAGTTACGAAATATTTTCAGATATTATCTCACTAATTCAAAAACATGTAGTAGAACATGTAATTTAGGTAATTAAGTCTGGTAGTATTATTAATTTTCTGGGAAAAAATTACAGCGAGATTCCCGATGATTATAGAATACAGATGGCCCGAAGGGTTATTTGCATTATATGATTAGGCATGAAATTCAACTTATATAGTGTGGGATCCTGATTGGCCAATATCGAAACTTGGGGATGTCGATGTTTCAAGATGCCATCAATATCCCTAACTCACATTGTTTATGTCTACCAATTTTTACAGAACAATCTCAAAAATTCCTGGTCGGATTTAGGTCGGTATTTAGCCCTAGTGGTTTGTAGATTTTATAACAAAATTATTAGCTGCGCACTTTTCACTTAATGAATGGCTACAATTTCATTAGTAAAAATTTAGTGATCCTGGGCAAATTTGATCATTTCTGGCCCTGCCAACCAGGATTTCGATGCATTCCGACCAGGAATTTCCTGTATGAATTCATACCTACCTTTATTATAATTTTTCATATGATTATTTGTAACTGGGAATCTTCCTATGGAAGATTCCCAGTCATGGTACGATCTCGTGAGAAATTATAATGATAGGGTATTAAAATAAATATTACATCATAGATAATAGCTAATACATACCATATTTGTTATTACAGAGACAATTATTGTTGGAATGTGAAAAATTGAAGCGTTTTCTCAAACGGGATTATAAACAACATTTCCATATTACTCCACAAGGAACGACATTCCATGATACTTGCATTAATCATTGTTTTTTATATGTATTCAGACAGTGTGACGAATCCCATACTCAAACTTGTTATACTTTTTTCAATTTTTTGATATGTTACGTAATAATATTAGTGTTTCAATTTATGAAGAGTTGGATGATTTGTACGATTATTTGCTCTATTACTTGGCTCATCAGACAAGAAAGGCATATTTAAACGCTTAATTGAATGCAAACTTGTTAAATCTGAATGAAAAAACCACTTTAATACTAGTTGACTACAAAATGAAAATACTATCTAAAACAGCACGTAAAACTAAACAAGATTGGTTTGGCAAAAAAGGCTAGTCTCTTCACTTAGTCCTTGTATATGCTACACAATCCAACTCAACAAAATTACAAATTCAAGCATTTGATCATTGGTCCATGGATTCACGTCAAGATTCGTGGTTCACAGCATCTTCACTTCATGCAGTAATTGAAACATTAGATCCAAAACCTGAATCAGTGATAATAATGTCAGATAACAGGGTCATTACTATAATGCTAATCTAATGATGATAATGGGATATTGGCCAGAATGTTATGGAATTAATGTAAGCAGATGGATCTTTTTGGAAGCAGGAGAAGCGAAAACTACAATCGATTCTTATCATGCACAGGTACGATGACTGCTAGTAAATTATCCATATTACCCTACACTCGTATATTGACTTTTATTTTATTTTTTTTATTACAACGAATCAGATATCACATGCAATCAATTGATATATTCGTTTAGGCTTTGATGTAACAGTAGGACAGAATATTGAGAATGCGATCAAAGGAATTAAAGGGACTTCTGTTGCAAATCTGAATCCTATTCGGGACAGAGGTAGTGGTAATAATACATTACCTGGAAATTCTAACTGGTTTGAGTAGCAATGGCCAACAACGGGTGAATTTTCCAGATATATTAAAGCACAGGATATTCCTGGTATAGGTAAATGGAAAATTTTTACTATAGCAGAATTAGATAAATTTCGCAAAAAAGACATTTATAAGCCCACACTACAAGTATCGACACATACTACACCTTCATCAGAATGGGAAATGCTAATACCGAATTCATCACGTATGTCCTTAATACTATTCAAATTTATTATATTCAGTAATAACTAGGCTTTTTTATTGTCAAGGTCTTATTCTGAGTCGTTTTACAAGAGAAAGTCTAGTGAAAGAATTAGAAAAACGAAACTTTAGGTTCAATAATAAAGAAAATAAAGATCAATTG